CCTAAACCCTACCCCAACCCCAAACCGTTTCAACCCGAGGCTCCATATCCTGAAGTCCTGTTAGGATGTTTAGGGGTTGAGGGGTGACGGCGCGGAGGGTCAGGGAACGAGGTACTCCCCGGTTCAGTGTTCCGGTGTGCAGAGATGAAGTTTGGGTCAAGGCTCAGTTCACATAGTAGTTCCTTTTTGGGGATTACCTAATAGAATTCTAAAGATGAACCCCAAAAAGGAACTACTATGGGGCCTATGGGTAGGTTCAGTTCCCTTGGTTCCCAGAGCCTCCAAAACCCCTTAATTAAGGAATATACCTTGAATTATAATAGGAACCCTAATAAGATTTAAGGTATATTCCTTGATTGAGGGGTTTTGGAGGTTTTGGGTTCGGAGGCTCTTGAGGGATCACAGACAGTGCCTTTCAAACACGTTGGGTGTAGTGCATAGGGTTGTGTTGCGTCGGTGCCTAGCAGTTCTTGGATGTCAAGTTCATGTCTTGTGATGTGCCAAATCTACGCGAAGGTACCATGGGGCCTGAACAATTGGTATTCTTCTTCCCTGCGGTTCCCTGACATGTTCATGACATCAAAAAGTAAACACAGTAAACCCTAAGCCCTGAACCCTAAATTTTAAACCCTAAACCCTAAACCGTACGTTCGCACATGCTGAGCTCTCGATTTCCCGGTTAGGCCTGTCCCCCCTATGCTTTGAACGACCCAGAAAACTCCGATACCCCTTCATTAAGGAATATACCTTAAATCTTATTAGGGATCCTACCCTAAACCCTAAACCCTAAACCCTTAAACCCTAAACCCTACTATAATTTAAGGTATATTCCTTTGTTAAGGGGTATTGGAGTCTCTGGGGATACAACCTTCTCAACAGCCCTAGGGTTTAGGGTTTAGGGTTCAGGTTTAGGGTTTAGGGTTTAGGGTTTAGGGTTTAGGGTTTAGGGTTTAGGGTTAAGTATGGAGTATACCTTCTGCTTGACTTAGTAGTAGAGTAGGGTAAGCTTTCACCCTTTATAGCCTAGATATAATACTAAATACCCTATCGAGGATCCCTCTGCAATTAAGGTTTATGCCTCAACCGAAATTGCAGGAGCCCATTCGAGCTTTACTAGCAACCTCTCAGAAACCCCTCAAGTACCGGCACCCCAGCTTGCGAAGTGCCTTTCTATGATGCGGCCTTGGCAAGTGCCCCCTGAAACCTAAGCTCTCAACCCTCTCTGCGGGTTTTCACGGGGTTGGGGTTTGGGGCCTCGGGGCTTAAGTTAGCCCAGGACAGCAGGGAACGCCAAGATTGAGATCAAGCTGCGACTTGGTGAGTACGTGAGGATTGGATTGGGTTGAGGGCGTTTCTTGTTTGCGGACGTTTCGCCGACACTTTGCAACATCTCAGTGTTATCTTGGATGCTACCACTTACTGCAAGAGTCTGTTGCCAAGCGAAAAGAAATGCATTAACGGTCTGAGCAAATGTCAGCACCCATTACCCTGATTCTCCTTCCCCACTCAACAAAATATGCGACGAGCAACGTCGCGCCCACAGCGCCTGTTTTGTCAAGGCATCTGATTTCACTGTTGGGTAGTATATAGTATGATATTGCACTTTATTGCATTGCATTGCACTATATCATATCATACCTGTCGTGTCATATCAGATCATACCATGTCATATCGTATCGTATTATATCATACTATACTACATAACAATATATTATGCATGGAGTGGCGCCTAAACAGAATGCTGCTCAGCGTCCGAAATCCGAAACCGCAAGAGTAGTTTTCTTGTCACCTTGGTTATAACCCTAGTGTACAGCCGTGAATTTCTGTGACTTGTCTAATATAGGGGCTTAATGATTACCTATACTATTTTGGGGGATTCCTCTTTATAATTCTAGTACACTATACCCCCAAAACCCAATTCTAATTGTTCAGGCACCTATATTCTTCGCTCCTGCCGAAGAGGAAAGATATTTCCTAGATCCACGGAACTTCGGAGCCTGTCTAGTCCCTAAGCCCTAAGCCCTAAACTCTAAACCCTAAACCCTAAACCCTAAACGGGGAGCCCCAGGCAATTCGAGACAAAGCCGGTGATTGCTCCGGCAAATCTCACCATGCCTTCGCCTCAACTGTAGGGTTGAGGGTAGGGTTTAGGGTTTAGGGTTTAGAGTTTAGGGTTTAGGGTTTAGGGTTTAGGGTTTAGGGTGGGTTTAAGTAGGATGTTGGGTTTCGGGTTAGGGCTTGGGGTTTGGCAGGGTGTTGGGTTGGGTTTAGAGTTCAGGGTTCCTGTTCACCTAGGATGCCGCCAACTACTCTCTGTTGATGGCGCCGAAGTACCCTCTGTAAAAGACCATGAGGCCGCTGGTAAGTCGGTTAGTCAGGGGTTGTAAGAGGGGTTTAGGGCTGTTCCGCTTTCGGAAGTTTAGAATCCCAGTCTTAGAACTTAGGGTTTGGGGTGAAGGTTTTCAGGGAACCCTAAACCCCAAACCCTAAACCCTAAACCCTAAACCTTTAGGGCTTTATCGGAAAACTCGGATTCAGGATCCACCCAGTGACAATGGCAATGGACTCCCGCAAGGAGCCCTTCGTCATTCTGATTATCTTTATCGACCTAGCTTAGGGTTTAGGGTTTAGGGTTTAGGGTTTAGGGTTTAGGGTTTAGGGTTCAGGGTTCAGGGTTCAGGGTTTATTGGGGTTTAGGGTTTAGGGCCTTGCAGCAACCACCTGACCAAGACGGTTTCTGAGTTTGGGGACGAGGTCAAGCAGGTCTTGAAGCAGAGCGCGGGGGACTTGGGAGGCTCGGTGTGTGGAGCCCTAAACCCTAAACCCTAAACCCTAAACCCTATACCCTAAGCCCTAAACCATAAACCCTAAACCCTAAACCCTAAACCTTAAGCCCTAAGCCCTAAACCCTAAGCCCTAAACCTTAAGCCCTA